CCAAATGAGTTCTCTTGTGAGATGCATCTTTTGGTCCTCATTTGACGATCAATAACCCATTCATATTAACCCTCGAGAAGTAGGCGAGTCCCATCCCACCACCCCCCTCCCCTCCCCTTCCCCCCTTCTTGCCAATTCATAATCTGTTTATCTGTCTATCTGTTGCATATGCCCGTCTCTTTTCCGCTTCGCTTTTTCTGCTGTGTCACCCTACCGAGCCTGCCCCGCCGTTGCATACCACCGCCCTAGCTGTTGTAATAGCTCGGGGTGGCGTGATGGTCCTTTCCCGGCATGGACGGCACATGTTGGTTTGTTGGCCGGCAATGCTAACTCGGTTTCATCATCCAGCCACCCTAAGTATCATCGAACAAAACAAAACAAAAAGTACACTTAATACCCCCTTTGTCTTCTATCTCGACTCTTTAGCCCAGTCGTTTGCCCGACATGACATCGACCCAGATTCCCGTTGTCATCACCTATCACAGGCCCGGCACCCATCCGCCGCTCTACATTGCCGGCACCTTCTCGAACCCGCCATGGCAACCATACGAAATGGACCACACCGTACGGGAGGATGGAGAATACGACTTCAAAAAGGAGGTCCACGGCGAGCCTGGATCCAAGATCCAGTATAAATTCCGCATTGGCAACGGAGATTGGTGGGTGCTGAAGGACGATGGGCCTACCGTGACGGATGGCTCTGGCAATACGAACCACGTGCTGGAAGTGAAGGCAGATCAAGAGCAAGTCTATTCTACGTCGTAGGGTATAGAGGGCGTACTGACTTTGGTGGGATGTCTCACAGCCAAGATACAGACCGTCAACAACAGGGCACACAAGGCGCCGACAGCGACGGTGGCAGTGGCCGCCCGTTATCATACGCCAAAGTAGCCTCCAAACATCTCCAACCTTCTTCAGGGCAAACTTCCACCGACCGCTCGGCCACGGGCACTCCGATTACCGCCAAAGTTGCCGCCGAGGTTGCGGATTCCGCCGAGCTTCTCCACGAAGAAGTACCAGAGCGTGAGAAGGATGAGGCTGGCGTTGACAAACAGACAGAGCGGCGGATGTCAGAAGAGGCAGAAACCGCAGCAGAGGTGGCCGACAGTGCCCAAGCTCTCGACGGTCGCCAAGTACGTTCCTCTCGTCCCCCCCACCCCCAACTTCATACCACCATCTAACGAACAAGGGCACGATTGTCATCCTTGAGCCACCCCCGGGCGAGGGTAACCCCTTCAGTGTTCGGCCACGCGGAGCAGAATCTCCAGGCGACGAAGACGGATATATTACCGACAAATCGCCCCTCTTCTCCCACGAGTGCGCTGGCATGTACGAGTCGGATGGAGAACTCGGCGAGGACGAGGGGGGCGAGGAGGATCTCCGCACCACCCACGTCGAAAGCTTTGGGCCTCAAATGGATCTTAATAAGGTGGATCTGAACGACCCAACTTTAGAGCGTTTCCCTTCCTCCCGAGGCGATATCATGGATGCGGTCCGAAAGTTAGAATCTGGGCTTCCGGTCGACCCCGTATCCTTTGAGGGGGGCAATTACCGTAGTCCGGTTCTTAACCCATCACGCCGGGGGACCGAGGACATCACGGGCGACTTCTCGCTGGCTTCCGCTCAAACATCGTCACCTCAAACGCAGCGCCCTCCAAGGAAGGCATCACGAGGCTCCATCAGTTCTGTAAACCCTGCAGCCTCGCTTCATTCTATTTCAGAGGGCGACGAACCGGGCGAGGAACTCTCCGCGGAAGACGAGTCCATTTCCCGTCCCGCGGTTGTGTTTTCAAACCCCCTAAAGGCCAAACCCAAGCACCTGAAGATCCCTACTAGTGACGAAGACGAGGGTGTTGCTTTGCGTGAAGGGGTGAGCCCTAGGACTGTGAAACCACCCCGCCCAGCGTTTATGACGTCCGAAGCCTCAACGCATTCACCCCCGTCACCAACGGCCGCTCGAAAGGGGGGACCTCCCCATGATGAAACAGACAACTTGGCACCTGCGGAAACAAAGCTACATAAGGGTAGAAAGCGGCTGGAGGAAGTAAAACTGCACCCGGCACCGCCTGGGGATCTAGGCGGCACGCATCCGGGGAGTTCACAGACCGATGTTCCCAAGCCCGGGAAACATTCCCCGACCGAATCTCCCACCAGCAACGATAGCAATAAAAACTGGACCGCAGCGTCGCAGCCTTCGGGTTTAGATAGAACTAGCGACACGAAAGGTGCCAGTTCCCAGGCACCACACAACAGGCGCCCCAGCTACGCTGAAATCGCAGCGTCACAACCTCCCCGGGCCGAACCCCCCCCTGAGAAAAAAAAGACTAAAACATTGCGGCCCCTCGCAACTGAGGACCGCCCCGTGAGCAAGTCCTCACCATCACAGTCCTCACCATCGCAGTCCTCACCATCGCAGTCCTCACCATCGCCGTCCTCACCATCGCAGTCCTCACCATCACAGTCCGCACCACCACAACCCGCAAACTCTAGTGACAGCAAAATCCCGGCTCCTGGAACCGGCGCCAGACGGCCGAGCTACGCCGAAGCCACTGCTTCAAAGTCTAGCTCTACCGACGACAAGGCCAAGGCCACCACTTCCGTTACTGCCGAGTCATCCGCGTCTGCGTCCACCACCACAACAGCCCTGGACACGGACACGGGCATGGGCACGGGCCAAGACTCGACCGAGCCCGCGGATCTCCGCAGACGAGGCGGTGCGCGAGACAAACAGCCGGCCGCGACCACCGACGATGCCACCGTCCCCGCTGCGCAGTTTAGGAGAGAGGGCGGCTGGATGAGGGCTGTCTTCCGGCTGGTGTTTGTGGACTTTTTCGGTGGCTTTGTTAGAAGAGTTCTGCGCATGCTCAGGATTGGCTGGGTGCTGGCCGTGCTTGGTGGGAGGAGGAGGGACCGCTAGGGTCGCGGGGTTGGTATCGATCCTGCTAGGAGGTGTCTTCTCCTAGTGAGGTTGAAGTAGGAGCTTGTGTTGAATTTGTCCGAGCGATGATATGATGCTGGTCGATTTGGCTATGGTGTTTTTTCAGCGGGTGGAAAGGGGTAATGCAGCGGTGTTTTGGTTCCGGTTGGTATCCGGTCACAGATTGCTTGGGCAACAGCGGGATGGCGGGAGTAATACAGATTGCTAGGAGGTAAGAAACCAGGCAGCAGCGGTAGTTGTAAACATTGTTTTATATCATCTTGTCGACCGGGCTACGAGCCAAGCCCAGTGTCACGCCGTTGCTGAAGTCTGTCTTGTTGCCTCCGGACTCTGGTTTTGTATCCTGTTATTGTTTCTCGGTTCCCCTCGACCATGTTCCAGCAGTGAAGCGTGTTCACGCCCCCCGCTGGTAAGAGGACCGACGCTGGGGTACTTGAATCCTTGCGCATTACGTATTGTAGGTGGGGGTCCTGGCGGGTTGAGGTTAGTGGCGACTGCATGGCGCCAGGTTCGTGCTGCCCGTATGCACGAGACACAGGTGGCTTGCAGCTTGCTTACCGACTTGGTAGGTATTAGAAGTGATTTGAGGTGCCCGCAGACATGCGTGGGGCCATGTTCTGGGAGGCGTTGGTGGCCGGGGTGCCGGAGCTGAAGGCGGGTGGTGAGCTGAGGAGGAGGGTAAAGATGGCGAGGTTGTTGGGGTTGTTGTTGTTGTTGTGGTATGTTTGCTTTCGATCCATTGTTTGTTTGCTTTGAGAAGGTTGTGTTCCCCTCGTACCGAGTCAGCATGCTGACGGGTAGCAGGTACGGAATTGCCTTCGATGACGGCGCGCTCAACCGCGTTGTCGAGGAGGGGAGAGACGACGAGGAGCTGCAGAAGCTGGAGTTGTTCCTCTCTAGTGAGACCCCCAGCATCGATGCCGCCGACGCTGATGATGGTTCCCCATAACGACCTAGGCCGCGCACGCCGCGCACTTGAACATGGGCAGTAAAAGAACAACGGCATTGTGTCCGGCAAGGCAGCGAAAACAGCGATTTGAATTCAACGCAGGTACTAACTGACCCCCAGCCCGCCGCGGTACCGCCCTAAATCCTCTTTATCGAAGCCAACCATCGCCTATCACCCAGCAGCCATCAGCGTTTACCATCGTCCCCCCACCCGTGTTCAAATATCCGCACTTGTCCGCATAAGCCACGAACCATCCATGCCTATATCACCTCCCCAGACCCCCCCTAGCTAACTCAACCCTTGAGCAGCTTCACCAGCTCGACAACAACCGCGTCGGCCATTTGGAAAGTGCCGGCACTGCCGCCCAGATCCTTGGTCCGCGTGCCGTTGTCGAGGGCGGTCCTGACGGCGGCCTCCACGGCGGCGGCCTCCTTGGGCAGGTTGAGCGAGTAGCGCAGCATCATGGCAACCGAGAGGATGGTGCCGATGGGGTTGACGATGCCCTTGCCGGAGATATCCGGGGCCGAACCTGGACAGGGTTAGTTCTCGAGGTCTAGTCACTCAAAGGGGTAGAGGGGGGGGGGCAGGGGGGAGGGGGCACCCACCCGTGAATCGGCTCGTAGATGCCGTTGCACTTGCTCTTCCCGTCAGGGATCCCGCCCAAGCTCGCGCTCGGCAACAGCCCCGATGCTGCCGGGGATGACGGACGCCTCGTCGCTGATGATATCGCCAAAGAGATTGCTGGTGACGACCACGCCGTTCAGCGCGCGCGGGCTCTTGACCATGAGCATGGCGGCGCTGTCAATCAGCTGGTGGCCGACCTCGAGCTGAGGGAACTCGTTCGCGAACACCTCGGTCACGACCTTGCGCCACAGGCGGCTCGTGGCCAGCACGTTGGCCTTGTCCAGGCTCCAGACCTTGCTCGGCGGGCTGGTGCCCAGGGCCAGGAAGCCAGCCAGGCGGGCGATGCGCTCGATCTCGGCCCGCGAGTAGGCGTCCGTGTCCATGGCGAAGCCCGACCCGTCGTCTTCGGTGCGGGCGCCGAAGTAGATGCCGCCCGTCAGTTCGCGCACCACGATGAAGTCGGTGCCGCGGCAGACGTCGGCCTTGAGCGGGGACGAGTCGACCAGCGAGTCGGACGCGAAGTTGCACGGCCGCAGGTTGCCGTAGGTGCCGAGCTCCTTGCGCAGGCGGAGGAGGCCCTCCTCGGGGCGGACGGGGGAGGACGGACCCCATTCCGGGCCGCCGATGGCGCCGAGGAGGATGGCGTCGGCGGCTTTGGCGGCCGCGAGGGCCTTGGCGGTCAGGGGGTCGTTGTGGACTTTGATGGAGGCCTGGTGGGGGTGATGATGGTTAGCAGGGCTCGCTCCGACCTTGCATGGAGGGGACAGAGAGCTGGCGCATGTTTATTTGTCTAGGAAACCCATATCCCCGTATCCCATCCCAGATACAGGGACAGATGGCTTCGGCCACCATGGGGGAGAGACAACGAGAATCAGGAAAGAAAAGTGAACTTACACCACCCAGGAGGTGTTCCTGCAGATTAAACTTGCCAACGGAGGGACTGTGCGTCTCAATTGCCCTCAAGACCTATCGTCAAGCAGAATGTGAGCTCCTTGTTCCTCCGTCCCTCACAGCCTTGTTTGGCCAGTGGGAGGAATCCTTCCTCGGACGCACCTTAACGGCCTCAGCGACGACCTGTAAACGAGATTGTTAGTCTAGTCCTTTTTCCTCCTCGCCCTGGGCAAGCATCTTCAATCAAGGGGACGATAGTATCAACCCAATGGCAGGGTTGTGGGGTTAGGTAGTCGTACCTCCGGACCACAGTGGTCACCACCGAAAACGACGATGTTGTGTGTCGCCATTTTTGTCTTTCTCCTTTCTTTGCCGAATCGAGAATAAGATTATTAGCGCTCCGTTAGGTCCTTGTACGTCGGGAGCCACAGGCGTATTCCGAAGCTTCTTGGACGACGACGTGAAGTTGATGATGCAGTAAGTGGGAAGGGAAGGAGATTCTGAGAACGGAATGGGTGATAGGCCACCAGTGGTATGTTAATAAATACGCCCCGAGCTTATCAAACCAACTCGACCCGAGACCGGATTCTCCAAAGATTCGATCGGTGAAACAGCTCGGGGGAAGAAGCATTTTTAGGAAGGTGCCCTGGAATAGTTCGGTGAGGTGCCCCGTTGAGCTACCTAGGCGACGGTCCGTAGGGTCGCCTGGCATCGCAAACCTGCTTTCCATCCGGAGCCGGGTTCGGGGTTTATTCATGTCCCTTCCGAGATCTACTGCAGGAAGCCGCAGCGCAGGGGCGCGAAAGGGTTCCATTATGATCATATTCGTCATTCAAAAGAAAACTATAAAAAATCGTTTCGGTATGTACCTATCGTATGTACTCGGCATGGACTGCGAAGCTGGCCGTCGTCGGTTGTTCTCTTGTCTAAACCTTTATAACCCAAAAAAAAGCCATGTTGACAGTATGTAAACCGGCAGGGGGGCAGCCTCGCTCCTCCTACATCGGCGCGTGATAAATCATATAACTGGTAGCTGGTGGGCGTTGTCCGTTTCCAAAGGAGGAAGTAATATAATAGTTACCCCGGCAGGTATAGACGTATCACCGGAAAGACTTCAGGGACTTGTGCGCGAGTGGCGACGTTACTGACCCCGGAGGCCCCGTTGCCCCCGGCGCCCGCCCGTTGTCTCGCAGTCTTCCGCCTCGCAGGTTGGGCGTGTTGGCACAAAATGCACAAATATAGATGGACGGGAGCGTCCGGTGTGTGATGCTGACGCATTGGCCATGCACGTACATCTCACATGATTCACTATTGGTTCCCCTTTTCAGCATGCACACTTGGTTGGACGTCGGGGCGGGAGACGGGGGACGGTGAGGGAATCCTTGAACATGACGGAATACGCACCATTGGATTAGCAAATCGTCTCGGCCGGCTTCGGCCCTGTTGCAAACACAACGGACGCCACGATTCCTTGTGTCGTTCGTCGGCGTGGGTAGGCTGGACTCGCTCATGGTCGTCGGCGACGTGGAGGGATGGCTGGGATAACGACTCGAGGTAATGCGCTTTGGTTTTGAGCTGGATTGCTTCTGCCGCGTTTCGCGTAGCTTCCGTAGCTCGCTGAGCGCGTCCCCCGAAGCTTTGTGCGTCGGTGTCAAATCATTCACCACCGTCTCCCCGTCACTATCACCCGCGTCCTGGGATCCCCCATGAAAACTAGTGTATGACGTTGTGCTACGTTCGCTTATGCTTCGTTGCGAGTCGTGGAAGGGATGAATCGTCGTTGGCTTGCGAGGGTCCGGGAGCGCAAATGACGTATTCCTGCTCGGAATAATGATGGGTTCGTCATCCGTCGACGACGAGTCATCGTCATCGGACGAATTCCACTGCTGCCGACTGGTTACAGAATACGAACTGTGCCGTTTAGAGGCTGACGGGGAAGGCTCGTCCACCACCACCACCGTCGTCTCTACACGTGCACGGCCATTGGCATCAATCATGAAGGTCGCCTGCGTTCTCATCTCCGGGCCAGTCGCCTCCGGTATCGAGGACAGACTCGACAGCCGGTGGTGATGATGACTACTTTTGGACGGCGACGACCTCCCACTCGGTCGCTGGGGTTGCAAGATGACGGGCTTATTGGCATTGACGCCTGCATTGCTCACCAGCTGAGACCGCGGCCGGGGCGCGAGCGGAGGCAGAGATGGCCGGCTCGCCGTCTTCTTCCCCCTGTTTTCGCTTACGCTCCGAGAGAGCCCGGGACGGCCCGTCTCCTTGATCGGAGAGCTCGCCAAAGCCCGATCCTGTTTTCGTGGAATCGGATCCTTCGCGCTAGCCGAGCGACGCAACTCAGCCCGTCCAGCCGTTTTTGACGCCGACGGCCCTCGACTGGTCACCTGGCCGCCGTGAGCCATCGCTGGGTTCTGATTCGGCACCGGCACGGGCTGGCTGAAGGAGGGGTTGTCCATGCTCGCCGACTGGGGCCGGCTGAACAAGAGTCCCGGGTTCACGGCACCGCCTGCGTCAGTCATCCCGAAGGGGTCATCGATAGGAGTGGGATAGCTGGCCGCGAACATGGAATGGTCCGCAGACGAAGTCACTAGCATCGACATGGGCGGCTGAGAACCAAGGCCGGCCTGATGGGCACCGGCAGACGCATCCCCATGTCCATCCAGGCCACCTTGCCCCTGCAACAGTTGGTTGGCGCCTGCCCAGTCCACGGGCCCCGTCCCTTGATGAGGCGTCGGGGGTTGGAAGGCGCCTGTGCCGTTCGCGCCAAAGTCGATATCCATCCCGGCAAGGTTAGGGTCTGTATCCCAGAAAGATCGCTGAGCACCATACGGCACGGCCGGAGCCGACAGAGGGTAACCGAACATGTCACCTTGCGACGTCACAAAGCCACCCATGCCCTGCTGCTGGGCAGACGCCATAAAATGCGCCTGCTGGTTATAGTCCTGGTCATTTTGCATGGCAATGGTGTCGAGCTTGGGCGCAAGCTTACGCTCACCCTTGCGCGCTGAGGGAGGAGGGGTCGCTGTCTGCCCAGGTGATTCCGTGACAATCGTCCCACGCCGGGCTTTCTTCACAGACCGGTCGACGGATCCCCCGATTTGGCCGGCGGCTTCTGGGCGATCGAACGTTGGGGTTGGTGGCGGGACCGGGGATGAGCGCAGGACTTTGGACGGCTCGACAGGGGGCAACGATAGGCTGGGGTTCGGCGAGAGCTCGTTCCCATGGACGGCGACTCCCAGACCGATTCCGTCGATGGACAAGGACCGCTTCTGACCCGGGCCGCCGAGATATGGGGTGGAAGGACCAAAGTCGGGGAAGGGTATCCGAGAGCCTCTCAGATTTCCCGGGGTCGCGTTGAAGACGGAGTATTCCTCGGCAAAACGAGGTGTCCACCCGCTCGACTCGTCGAAGCGTCCCTGGCCGTGCTTGGGCGTTTCCAGATCAGGACTCGGCAATATGGTAGATCTCGGGGTTCGTTTGGGTGTGGGAGGCTGAGCGGTTGAATCACCAAAGCTGCGAAATCACATCGTCAGCACTGTAACCATCCCCGGGATGCAGGGTCCTGAGCGCATTGAACCAAGAACGGGAAACGGTCGAACCTAGCACCTAGCGGATCTGCGCTCATAGCAGACTTGACCGTGTTTCAAAGATGTATCCCGGGCCGCGGCATGAGATGAAGCAAATCGTTTAAACGAATCGGTACAGTTATAATAACGTCGGAAGCGCACGTCGAGTCTCAGGTGGGGGAGCAATCGGTCCGGCGGCAACTAGGAACGCAGGTGCGTGAAGGGAAGATGCTGACTCGGGGGAATTCCTCGTCTCGTCTGAAAACCCCGATCGCTGCTCAACGATTCGGCTTCGTATCGTAAATGGGATAAATCGTTCAGCTAATCATAAGAAAACTGGCCGGTCAGTACAAGGCATTTTCTTTTCGGTTGGCGGGGCTCGAGATGGATGGAGACGGAGCGGAGCTGATAACGAACCTCGACACGGCCATGAGGTAAGCCGAACAGAATTGGCGAAGCCGTGAGAGGGAAATGTTGTTCAATCGCAACCAAACCAATGTCGCTCGGTGGTTCAGGGGGTAGAGGTGATGGTCAATTGCTAGGGGCTGAAAGTCTTGTGGTACGGCCGGGTCTGTGCTGTGCGAACGGCAGTCGGAAGCGCTGGGCAGGCGGCACGGGAGAGATAGTCAGGTACGTCTGTCCGTCTTGCATTACCATGCACGTACAAAGTACGAATACCGTCTCGCATACCAATCCGTCAAAGTTTGGGTCAAGAAGGTCTGGAGTGACACCAACTGCTAAAGCTGCTGAGACGAATGTAACCAATGCTTGACGGCCGGCGGCAAGACAGACCAACGGCCGCACGAGACCTAGGCAGTTTGTGTCGTGTGTGCAACTTGTGGTTGTCCCTCAAGATGGAGGCGGCTAAAGGAGTTCACTGCAGTGAGTTGGTAACTCACGGTGGCTGGCGGTCCCGCCTGTTGTGCGTGAGGGAAGGTGGGGGTTGGTTGGTCGGAAGACCGGGGGATTTCGATGTTTCTACACGGCGGGGGAAGATTCACATTCAGGGCCGCCCAGAAGCCTGCCAGTCAGGGACGACCGTGAATTCCAACGCCCAGAGGGAGTGCAGCAGAAGGATGCGGGTTGGAGGGGGTGCTTATGGCAAGGAATGCCAGTAAATTATTCGCCGAGCTCTTCATCCACAAAAATCATGGAGCTGCCATTGAAGAGCAGTGAGCTTCACAGGGGCTTGTTCCCGTCTCCGCCTCTTCGGATTCACCCAACCCCTATTAGGCAATCATCTCTAAGGGAGGGTGGGTGTCCGAGCCCAATTGCAGAGTGAGACTGTTGCATCGAATCCCTTGGACTGCATGTGGTGAAATTTAACAAGGGCAGTGATGTGGAAGCTGGGATCCAGCCTCGACTGGCCTCCCAGAGTTGGTGTTTTTACATTGCTTTCTTTGTCCGGAACTCACCGAGCCCCACCGAGACCTGAACTCTCGAATTCGAGACAAACAAACTGCCAGCCAAGTCAACCATCCGAACTTGAACGTGACAGATGAGTCAAAAAAGGCCCAAAATGGACCGCGGTTCCTCGAGGCAGCAGTTCCAATCAGCAGGCCGGACGGGTGGGGAGGTTTGATGCAGAGCAAGGGCGAACGAAGCTGGAAGCCAGGCTGCAGTGCCGAATGAAGTGTGGAAACCGTTTATGGCAGCTGGAAGCAAAGCTTGGAGGGTCCACTTGATTCAGTTAAACCAATGAGAACCATAAAGTGGGGCTCACATCTTGTGCGGGTTGTGAACACTGAAGCGGCCCTCGACTCACGAACTTCAATGGTTCCAGGGCTGTTGATGCATAAGGGAGGTGGTCTCTTCCGGGGTTTGACTTCCATTGTTTCCCAACATCTACTTCGGGTTACGAATCCCTTCCTACAACTTTTGGAGGAACTTATTTGTCTCGCCGTTCTCCCTCAGACGGCAGATCGAATACTGAATACCAAGAGACGTTTACCAGCGGGAGTTTATCTCTGATGGTGAACGGGTGGTGTGTCCGGACGTTCCAAGTAACCCAAGATACCTACCAGGTAGCTAACATTTGAGTGCTACTGCTGTGTGCTACGGACCTATTACCATGTTGTGACAGTTGCCTCCGTCCGAACTGAAGCGCCGAATGCCAAGGCCTGCGCCCACCGCCTTTGGAATTCTGCCGTCATATGAAGCTTTGGTGGGGCAATCTTTTGTACTGTGTAGGTTTCTCGCAGCTTTCGTCTCTCGCCACTCCATCCATTCCACCCCGTTGTTACAACCACCAAATCAACCCGATTATCACCAATTATTACTGTTTTTGAGAAACCATAATCATGAGCAAATACGGCGTTATGGTGATGGGCCCTGCCGGGGTCGGCAAGGTATGACGATACCCGTTATTCGCAGCAACCAGTTTTTGGATTTCCTCTGATGGCGTAACCTGTGCATAGTCCACCTTTTGCGGAAGCCTCATCACGCACCTTCAGTTAAACCGCCGCTCCACGTTCTACATAAATCTCGACCCCGCCGCCGAGCATTTTCAACACGCGCCAGACCTCGACATCAAAGACTTGATAACGGTCGATGATGTGATGGAGGAATTGCAGCTCGGTCCTAACGGGGGACTGATCTACTGCTTCGAATATCTGCTCCAAAATCTCGACTTCATTTCCGATGCGCTCGAATCGCTGACGGAGGAATACCTCATAATCATCGACATGCCTGGCCAGATAGAACTCTACACGCATGTTCCGCTGCTCCCTCCCTTGGTCAAGTTTCTTACACAGCCGGGCGCGCTCGACATTCGCCTGTGCGCGGCGTACCTCCTCGAATCGACCTTCGTTTTGGATAAGGCCAAATACTTCGCCGGGACGCTTAGCGCCATGAGCGCCATGATGATGCTAGGGGTGCCACACCTCAACATCTTGAGCAAGATGGATTTGATTAAGGATCAGATGCGGAAAAAGGACTTTAAGCGCTTCCTCGTGCCGGATACAACATTACTCGAGGACGAGCGGAAGAACAAGAGCGTCACCGTCGACGTCCGCAGTTCGGATCCAACGGATAAGGATGCAGTCATGTCAGGCGCGACGTTCAAGTCGGCTAAACGCTGCCATTGCCGACATGATCGAGAGCTACAGGCTTAGTGCACTAGGTTAAGCTGGATTGCACAGACGAGGACAGTGTTCAGGCGATCCTCAGCCACATTGACGACTGCATCCAATACCACGAGGCCCAGGAGCCCAAGGATCCGCCCGAGGAGGAGTTTGATGAGGAGTTTAACGACGCATGAAGGGGTGCACGGTGAAGCGCATGGGACGGGATAAAAAAAAAGGGCATTGCTACATACAACGTTGGTCTACGGTTCTGGCGTTTGGGGTGAGGGTGGGAAGGGGGGGAGGGGGGGTTCGGCTGGGCTTGGATGGGGTCAACTTGATTTGCATAGTTATGGTGTAAAGGTTCAGAAGCATAGGTAGTTATTTTCCTAGCGGTCCTCTTACGCATGCCGCTGTAGTCCAAACAGACCGTGTGATATGCATGCCTCGGCGCTCGTCTTCCAAAATGTCTATCTCGCGAACAAACTCGAACAATCATAACCCTCGAACTCCCGTCTCTATAATACCGAATAACCGACCAAGCCAACCCCATCTCGCTCGTCCACCAACAAACACTACTCTACGAACTGCAGCTGTATACCAATCCTCGTTTCCTCATAATCTTAAACCCCTGGCCTCATAAATCATAACTCCTCAACCCTTGTTGGTTGTTGTTGCTGGTACAACCTCTGGCGCGTCCTTGGGCCTTTCTCTACTTCAACCACCAAGGCCTGCGCGGCGCATGCCAACCAGCCCGCCAACTTCCCGGCGACGACCGAAACGTTCCCTCACGTTGCGCTTCACGCCGCGTTGCCACGCCCACGACACCAACAGCGCGACGGCCGCCCAGAAGAGCAGGCGGAAGGCGACGCGCGTCCAGAAGAGCACGATGCGACGGACGAGGGGCGAGGATCTGCAGGATGGCGATGGCCAGGAGGAGGAGCACCGCCGCGGCGACGATGTTGGGCGACGAGGAGAGGATGGTGGTGAGGCGGTCGAGCGCGGTCGTGAGCAGTGGGGTGAGGACGGTGAGGAGGTGGGCGAGGGCGGTGCGGAGGGGTTGGAGTGGGCCCCGGTCGGGGAGAGCAGCGTGGTTTGGAGGTGCGTGAGGTAGAGGAGGGTTTCGGGGGGGAGGATGTCTGGTTTGGGGGGGGGCGCGGTTTAGTTAGTTTGGTTCTCCTTCGTTTTTTGCCTCGGGGTTTGGGGGTTTGGGGAAGGGGATGGAATGGGGACGGGAAGTACCTGTTAGGAGGGAAAGCGTCCAGGGTAATTGATCCTCCATTGTTTTTTTTTTATTTTATGCTTGATACGTTGTAGCTTGATGGGAGAAAGTTGCAGAAGTTGTTTTGCGAGTGCTGGTGCTGAGGTTTTGTTGTCTTGTTTTTTTTGGTTTTGGAGGTGACGTGGGCCGACTGAAACGCGCCGGGATAAGAACCCGGGTCCTTGCCAATGGGAGCTTGGGTGGGATTGGGCCGGCCAGGTTACATGTTGCAGCTTTGAAGGAGTCGCGGGGCAACGTCTGTGAACAGGCCGTCTTTTATCGCCTTTGTTTGTTCGAGTATTCGGCTCTCATATTTTCTTCCTCGAGGCTACCACGATCGGCACAAGTGGGTCAATCATTGAACAAGGAAGGAGGACGAGGTCTGGTGACACTTGGGACGAGAACGATGACAGCAATTCCAGGTTGATTATCTTTTAGATTATGTTCAGTGTCGGGCCGGCTTAGCAACTCTGCTTCCCTTGCCAGAATGCTCATCCATGAAGTGCTCAGCCCAACGGTCTGTGGTGAACCAAGAAGCGGTCTCTTGACACGGTCCTGTCGCCAGCGTATAGTTCCCGTCCAAGTCGCTCGATAACCAAGAGACGCAGCCAATTCCGGATCTCAGTTTTAGTTCTCTCTCCCAGCCGATGTATAAAACGTGTAATCACCTCTGTCTGTCGGCCTTGGCTGTTCTTCGTGAATATTCCCATCCAAATGGGCCTCCCCTAGGTGCCGATTTCTTGCTAATAGTCACCGCATCTCGGCGCGTCCATTGTGATCCGGACTACTCGGTCTTTCCGGACCTTCTTCGCTTGTTGCTCGCGGAACTTGGCAATCTCAATCTTGACGGCCTTGTCGACACGCCTCTTCAGCTCCGGGCGGTAGCCTACCATGAACAGCAGTTCGAGCCAGACGAACAAGGGAGCCAGGAAGATCGCCTGGAAGAGGTTGTCAAGCAGTGCCGGGGCCCGCCCCTCAAACTTGCCGTGGCCGACAAACTGCGCGATCCAGGAGACAACATTTACCGCGATGGAAATCTGGTTCGTGCCGATGGGGTCCTGCAGCCGGAGGTAGTTGGTCCCAGCGGCGGCAGCGAGGCAGACGAGTGCTAGGGCACCCCCAGCAACAGGTTCAAGGAGGAGATACAGGCCGCCCCATGTGATTGCCGCAAAGGTCCCCAGGTTTAACTCGAGATAGGGTATTTGCAGCCATGACGGGAGTTCGAAAAAGGGGCCGTAATTGGAAGCCTGCACCAAGTTGAGTCGTTAGGTCATCCCGCTCGGATGCAGCCAGGGAAAACGGATGCATACGAGCTCGAAAGAGGAAAACAAAATCAGTGGCACGCAAACCAGGTGAATTATCACGTTCACTTGGTTATGATGATAAGCACCATACTGTATTGCCGGTTAGCTGCTGGGCACGTGGTACGAGGTGTCGCCAGATGGACTCGGCCGTGCAGGGTTCGGAGGTTTGCGGATAGGCTTACGAAGGTGAGCTGCCTTTCGAGGTCGAGGGACATGGCGAATTACCGGGATCCCGAGACAAAGAGGGTGACGATACTCGAAAAGAGGGAGGATGTCAGATCACTGAGATGATGACGAATGAGGTCTGGACAGGCCCGGCTTGAACGGCATTTAAGGACAAGGGCAGTGCCCCAAATTAACTAGCATAAGCCAGCGTGCTTACAGGAATGAAGTTCCGCGTTTTCAGAGGGCCTCCGAGCCTCCAATTTCCAACAACGTGGTCAAGAAAATGTGTGGATCTCTTGTGTTGAAGGGATGTTCGGGTGATGTTTGGCCGAATCGCAGCGTTGATGGGGACTCAATCCGCTGCTCACTTGGCAAACCATCGGATAAAACTTTGTGCCTCGGGCAGCGGGTCGCCTGAGCTCTTTCCCCACGGGGACAAGGGTCACCATCACGCAAGTTTCAAAATGCCTTCAGTTAGCTTTTATCTAAAAGAGAAGAAAAAGAGAAAAGTAAAATGATAAGAAATAAAAGAGAAAACACTATTCTTGAATAAACACCTTTAGATATTTTAGACATTAAGGGACCTTGAGCTTTATTTACTACGCAACTAATAAGATACCTTGATGTTGACGACATATTCCAGCAGAGGGAGGATGGGCCTCGGGTGCCATCGTCTTCGACGGTGCGGAAATGATGTCAGTGATATCAGGGTCATAGGGCCCTCCAAGGTCAACGCCGTTTGTGGTTGCCCAAGACGAAACTTGCGGGATGGGCACTCTCATCCTCTTCAGAGATCAATGTCAAAATTGGTGGATAATCCTTTTCTAGCTTGCGTGAATCGGATGCGTGAGAGCTGAGAAATTTTTTTCCGTAAAAAAGATGAAAAAGGAGATAAACAGAAAAGAGAATAACAAAGTACTTCATAGAAATGCATAAAACTAAAAAAAACCAGCAGATTCCACTCTGAGAGAATTCCCCTAATTTGCAACTTCAATGCTGTCTCCTTTCTTATGCTAACCTTCCCGTGTTCGTATCGCCGTCTCGCTTCTTAGAAAAACAAAAAACAACTACCTCATTAATTCAACGGATGCTATCTTCCAAATTCTCGGACTATTTTCACCTGGTTGCGATCTGTGAACTTGTGCCAAGACCAGATTCCCCAAATGAGCCTGCAGCTTGCGCACGGACCAATAGCTTAATCAAGCCGCCACCCCAAGCGAACCAAGGGATGCTCAAACAATGGACCTAGTAGGGAGCACTCGGGCACTCAGCCTTTTTTTCACTTCTGCATGCGTCAGCCTCGCCCAAGAACATCCGACCGTTTGTCGGTGCATCAAAGACGGCGGGGCGCTTTCTCGAGCTGCGCAAGTCTCTTAACACCTCTATCGCATCTAAGCAAGACGGCAAGCATGTGGGCGTGTTTGCACCCTTGCTTTTAATTTCCATTGGAGATTCTATCTTTGTAACTAACTAGCTACCTTACCGATTACCCAGCGACAATAATCGATAACTCGCGACGCGCTTCTCCCTCCGCGGTCGCAAACTCCTCTTAACCGACCTCGACAAGGCCATTATTTAGAGCTCGCGCATCGGGCGCCTGCCCATCTACTTGGCCAGATCGATCCGATCACCATCTATCATCTACCATCCGTCATCTCTACAATTTGTCAAAATGTTCTTCCTTCACAACCTCGAGCGGCGCGTCACGCTGCATCCCTCGTACTTTGGGCGAAACATGCATGAGCTCGTCACAACAAAACTGGTCAAGGACGTCGAGGGGACATGCGCTGGCGATTACTACATTATTGCCATTATGGATACATTCGATGTATCCGAGGGTCGCATCCTCCCTGGGAGTGGCCTCGCCGAGTTTACCGTGGGCTATCGCGCCGTGGTCTGGCGGCCGTTTAAGGGCGAGGTGGTAAGATTTGGGCCACAGCATGGTGGTTGCATTTCTTCTTGCTGACGCAACCAGATTGATGCGATTACACAAACCGTAAATCCTCACGGTTTCTTCGCACAGGCCGGCCCGTTGCGGCTGTTTGTTTCTTCACATGTACGTTTCCTCTTCCGACGGGCCTAATTACCAGTTATACCGATTACTGACGGAACCCTGCTCACAGTTGATGCCGGACGAAATCCAATACGACGCCAGCGCCACGCCGGCGCAATTTACCAACAACGCCGACATCGTGATCGAGCAGGGGACACACGTGCGTGTCAAGATTATCGGGTTGCGGACCGAGGTCGGCGAGATGTGGGCCATCGGCAGTATCAACGGTGATTTCCTAGGGTACGTACTCGTGCTTGACTACACGTTGAGGATAATTGCGATGTTAACCGTCTTGATACTGCAGCTGCCTCCAGGCATAATATCCCGGAAGCAGACCATGGCTTGTTAACTTGTGAGGAAAATGCGGGACGGCAGAGCCCGTGGTACAAGAATCAAGGCAGGTCGCAGTTCAACCCAGCTGGACTGCTCCTATACCGGCCAGACAGTTTTGCACTTGAGCCAGCTTTCATGACCCGCAGTAAGATTAGCATACACGCATCTATGCTGCTGAGAGTTTGCCAAAAAGGGGAGCCGTCCATCATTCTTGGAGTGGATAACTGGATTATTAGGGACGGCACCCTGGCCTCTTTAAATGCGTTCATTGTACGCAGCTGTCAATTTAAACTAATTTGACTCAAGAAAGCATTCCGTCCCCTGTTATTACTCGATCATGCACCTCATGTGCAAGTGATCAAGAGGCGAAGAGGGGGGATGAAAACGAGACCGGAAGCTCCGGGGTCCCGGAAAGGAGCTGATAAGAGATGCCGGCAGCTAACGCGACCTCAGCTCGTCCTCTTGCTTCTGCCTACGGCTGGAGGCTGGCCTCACCTCATTAGTGATCGCCTGCTATTTGTTTCCCGCCCGCCGCTGCTGCCGAGGTGGAATGGCTCTCCAGAGGCTCCGCCATGCCCCTTTTCCGGTTTTAGACGGAGCTGCATGATTCTTATGGCACCATCAACAGCCCCTGCCCGAGTCATTTCGGACGCGTTGGGCTGCTGTGTTGGGCCGTTGTGCTGGGCTGTCGAGCCGAAATTCCGTCTCTGGAGACGATCGCCAACGCTTTCTTCGGACGCGTGCTCGTGAGCTAAGCTATTGGTCATGTTCAAAATGTCAGGTATATGGCAAGCCGGGTTATGAATACAACACTCATACCAGACTAATCAGTCCCCACAGGGCTAATTGTCTTAGGGATGGAGGGCGTGGGGGGTAGGGTGCCATGGAGGGAGGATCATAGCACGGTAACCTTTCTTCTCCCCTCAAGCGCAAGAACGAGAACGGAGATTAGATCTCGTGTGTTGCTTTTCCCTTGACTAGCTCCTCCCGTGTCCCACCTCGCTGCAGAGTTTTCTGCTCACCGCCTCCCGCTCTTACAGATGAACTGTGCCTCTTTTCCTCCAGATGGCGAAAACCACCGTGGCCCTCCAAGTCCGAGGTCCGCATTGACGTTTCTTCGCCCTTCCCGATCTGTCCATCCCCGTCCTAGTCCAGCCTCACAACCTACATGCATGCATATGCAGAAAACAAGCCCACTCGAAGCTGCCCGGTCTCCTTGCCCAACCAACTCGAAGGATTTGTGGGCTGGAAAAGGAACTGTGATCGGCACGCATGCCGATATACGTCTGCAACTATCGATCCCCCCGCTCCGTGGTGACCCTAAGTCCTGTTGGAGATGCAGCGATTCCCCAGATCACCCTCGCCTGCAGGCATGGGTGCGTGTGCTGATGCTCCAGGATCGCCCGATTCTGCAGCCTCCATCACTTCCAACACGCTTTGAGCTTATTACCGCATCCAGACACGGTGGTGTTGGCCTATCCGCTCCCAACTGGTAGCCCGAGCTCTTTGATGCTAGCCGTTAGCGGCCAACAGGAAGAGAAGAGGGGTCGTTGCACCTACGCTACACAGTCCACAGGGCTAATGCTAGATGGATAGTAATACATCACAGCAGCAGCAGCAGCAGCAGCAGCAATCTCCTGCTGTGCCCGTCAATAGCTTCCGTAACAGTGCCAACAAGGCATGTCTCATACCTCGTACGCGGACTAGATACGGTACGGCCCGCGGGAAAAGGGGGGAAAGAGACTTGACACTGTGCTGCACATAACGCGGGAACGGAGAAGGACGTAAAGTCACCGAGAGCCACGCTAATGCAGCCCCGGGGTAACATCCCTTGACCGAATACCGAGTCCCTTCGGGAGACGGTGCCGCGACCAAGATCGGGTTGACACTGGTTACGGGGTGATTTCCGCGCTTCCCTTGCTTCATCATGTGCGGATAGTGAACTAACTCGTTCCGGATGGCACTGTACAAGCTGCTGGGCGACAGAGACATGCTGCCAACCCCCCTCCCCCCTCGACCTCCCCCGTCTTCTTCGGAGCGAATCTCCTGATGTCGTACAAGATCATCTTCATGGATTCATGTATGTACCCCAGCTATTTCGGCAACCAACTTTGAAATCTGAATCAACCCCACCGTTCCCGACATGACTTTGTCAACATATCCAATGGTAGAGGCCTGGGTACGAACAGGCTTGCAGAATGATGAACTGGCAATGCGACTGCTTTATTAGGGCGGGCCTCGGCGCATGCTGCATGTCTACCCCTGAAGCTGAAGTACCCTCGGAATTCTTGGTCTGATGACATCCACCCATCCAATCCAGAACGACAAGAAAAGAAAGGAGACAATGTATCGTATTCGCGTCAGCGAGGTTGTTGTGTGGGGCACAACAAGGCGGCGGAATCTCGATGGCAGACTGCCGTGTACCCAAACATCTATCTCCCAAGCCCACCGACCGAGGATTTGGGCCTGCCGTGTAACCTCCTGGGTTACACAAGAAGGAGGTTACACGGATCACCGCCCTGCCCTGTAGCCGGGGCCACAAAATCATTGTTTGCTTGTGCAACGTACGTAACTATTCCTTCTGGTAACTTGAACCCCTTCGGCGGCCAAGCTCCTCCCTTTCCTGTCCTTGCTCCTTGCTTGCCTCCGCGGGGCATACACTTCTTCTTCCCGGGCTAGCACGGCATGTCGTGCTCTGCTGTCTCACCTTCGAGCATGCATGCCTAGTATCAGCAGCCAATAGACAGACTCGGTCTCAAACCCGAGCCCTTGCAGATCCACCGCCGGCCGTGAGACAGTCACCGAAGCGCAGCCGTGCTGATCATCGTGGAGAGGAGGACGACAGCGAGAAAAGGCCAGGACTGGCCGTTGGATTTGTGCCGGGAAAGGGTGGTTGCCGAGACCGGATCTTCGATTATAGTCCTTTTTGGGCGAGTGTAAGTGGGAGTGCATCTTTGACAGATCAGATACATGTCATTCATCTTCGGAACCGGGGGGGGTGCGAACTCAAGGGGACTTGCCCAGCCGAGGCGATGCTGTCCACAGAACCCAGCCAAGTCCCGGTGTTCTCGGGCCTGCATAGCGCATTGATGCACGAGAATGCGGCCGCATGCCAGATGTCAGCATGCCGTCCGTCCAGTCCCCATCTTGTTGAAGAGGCCACCCCCTTGCTTAACCACTCAGAGAAACAAAATTTCCTCTATCGATTCCCATAAGCACTACCCGCAAACAGGGTTTCTCTCGAAGGCGCCCCGAGGGGTATCCATACCGCCAAGATAGAAAACAGGATGAACATGTTCATCATGACGGTGGCGTTGAGGGGGCCGGGCAGCCGATCGGAGAGCTAGGGGGGGACAGAATCCTGCCCAACACAGCGCCACTGGCGGGACGTACAGACATGTATGTAGTTAGCGCCGCACTTGCTTTCTGCCACTTACACGCCAGACCCAACTTGGGCTAGGGGGAGGCGCTTACAGGTTGTACGACATCATCAAGCAAGAACTGTCACCGACGCTGGCCACGACGGCACACCTGGGGGTAGACAGTCATTGGATGAAGAGCGCCAGTTCGTCTGCCGTGGTTCAGGGGTTGGGTTGGACAAGACAGGAGACAAGATAAGGAAACAACCGCGGAAGTTTCGGGAGAGATGGGAGAGCACTCACCAAACAGGGCATGGCCGGGAAGCCAGAACTCGGCCGATCGCAGCATGTGGGATATCGTTTACCGGAGGAGCTCCGCGTCCGAGTCTGAGCCGAGCCATCCTTGTCTACTTCCTGAGCAGGAAGAGCAGGGGCAGACGGGTTAGTCTCAACTCGCAAAATTCTCAGCAATAGAAAGACTGTCATGATAACTGCCAGCACAAGTGCCGTAGTTAGCCTTCCAGGGGTACTTGCCGAAGTGGATCTGCAGCACCAGCGAGAGCAAGATGCCGCCTAGGGGCGCACCCGGGGCGGCGCAGCCGTTCGCGAGGACCCTTTCTCTATCAAACCACCAGCCCACTACACTCGTCAGCGTAGCTATCACCACTCCCGGGTTTGTTAACCGGGGATCATCATCAACACCCACACCAAGTCCACTTCCTGACTCGTAAGAAGCGTAGCAGTGATAGCAAGCAAGCCAAGGCCTAACTAACCGAACGAAAGCAATGCAAAACAACACAAAGCAACAAAAACGCTCCCATGCATGGAACCCCCGCAACCGCCATACAGCCCATAAACTGCGCATAACTAACTTCCACACCACCCCAGCGCCACAAACCCACCCACATACCACATACTCACATCCACAACCCACACCCTATACCCAGCAACAACCCACCCCCTTTCCTCACCATTCCCATCCCCATCTCCACACCCCCACCCCCTCACAATTCACACCAGGTCCCCTTCCGTTCCTCTGTAGCATGTGGGAGAAGGGACGGTGCGGAAGCTTGTGGAGGAGGGGGGAGGGGGTGTGTTTTAGGGGGGGCATGGGGTGGTGGTGGAAGGGGTGTGGCGAGTGTACTTGCTGATGTTGATGATGATGGTGATGATGCCGCTGTTTGTTGTGCATGTAGAGTTAGAGCGGGGTGATGGCGGGCCGCCGCTTGCTTGCTGTTGTGTCATGCTGCTGGTCGGCTGCAGCTCCTTGCGGCTTGTAGCTGGGGCTTTTACTTCCGGGTCCCCGGTTCCTGGTCCGGATGATGCTGGTGGCGTTTCTAGGGTGCTGCTTTGGTTGCCGCTGGCCGGATCCGCCGGCGTGAGGCTTCTCTTGGGTGGTATCTCCTCCTGGTCAGTTATCACTTTTTTTTTTTTTTCTTTTGGCCTTTCTTTTCCCGGCTCGTCCCTTCGCTCGCATGCAAGGGGAGATCTTTTCCGCACTCACTCGATCTTATGCTGGCTTTGGTCCGTCCTGTCGCTGCCCGCGTCAGTCCCCGGCCGAGCAGCAGTCGCCATGGCGGTGCTGGCTTATAACAGCAAGGGTCTCGGGTCTCTGAGGAAAGCGGCGCCCCCAACCCTCTGTCATAACGTGCTCCCTCACGTGGGATTGGTACCGTGATAGAAAGAGCCAACTCAAGAAACGCCGAGGAAGAAACACGGGACTTGACAACAGTATAGGTGAGTGGCTTGTCTATTGCTTGCTTCCCAGATCATCTAAAGAATCTGGCTTCCCCCGAAGTTAACCAACCACCGACATCTCCCCAAAAGCTAAACGGCGTTGCCTCAACCACAGGAGAACTGACCATGTCGGCAGACAACCTTAACCCCTTACATCCTTGGGTCATCAGCGTCCAGAACCACCTTCCGGGTTTATTTGGAAGACGAGAAAGAGTGTGAAAGACGGCCAGGCTGTGCAGTCGTCAGTCATCAGTCATCAGTTGGTTAACGTGGACAAGCACGGAAGGGCCGGAGGTCAAAAGCGGGATCAGGAAATCCCGAAGAGCTGCGGCCGGCGAGCCTCACCACCAACAGCAACTGCGGTTGATAAGCCCTGCTGCCATTCACCCTCGAACCGCTGGCGGTGTCGTGTTCACCGGGCCGAACAAAACAAAGGAACAGGACTACTGTGTAAGCCGCAGTGGTAGGAGGCCAGTCCAACTCGGACCCAACAGACTGCCCGACGACTCAGTGAACTCCGAGAGTTTGTTGCTGACCCGGGGGGCTTCGCCCGAGCAGCAATCCACACGGATCAAACTGCAACTGTGGTGGGACCCCTGAGCGGCGGTTGCGCAACGGCCTTGTTAGGACCAGCTGCAGAGCAGATGCAGCAGGGGGGAGGACAAGTACATTGTGGTACCTGTTGCCTTCTTCACTGCCACGGCGTTTGTTGCCACAGCCCGGTTGTCGACGCAGCACGCTGGGTTGAGTCGAGAACGGCCGAGTAGAAGAGGGAGCGGCTCATCGGTTGACCCGAACAAAGTATAAGGGGGTCGCCCGGGGGTTGTTCAACTCAATTGTTCAACTCAGCTGTTCAACTCAGGCAGGCAGGAGTGAACGCCAGGCGGACTCGGACCGGGTATCAAAAACCGTTGCCTTTTCGAAAAGGTGACCAGAAACTATTAATAGGCCAGGGAAGACCACGCTCTATCACTCACCTACATTCCTCACAACCAACGACACAACCAACAATGCCGCTCACTACGTTTCCCCCGCGGGGGATCCTCGGTCACGGTCCGAAGATAACAACCACCAAGCTGACCTCGGCACGATGGGTTGGATCGATCCCACGGCTCCAAGCCCAGTTTGCCGACATCAGCCCGGCCCTCGACAGCAGCGCCCGCACTCTCCCACCCCCAACATTCAGCTCGATCCCCTTCCGCGGGGCAGCCCCCCCGCCGGTGCGGCCGGTGGTGTCGGCGTACCCGCAAAACCGCGACGAGTTCTGGCGCAAGGTGCCGCTGTGGGGGAATATCTCGGCCAAAGAGTTCCTCTCACACAGCTGGAGTGTAAGTCTGGCCGGTGGACCCGGTGCAAGAAGATGAAGGGCCCCCTTTCTCACACACATCTCTAGACAAGAAATATGGTCGAAACGAAACCACAGCTCTTCAAGTTCTTGGAGACGACTCTCCCCGAAGAAGTGCCGTATGACAAGTCCGGCACACGGATGCAAACCCGCGACGAGTTCATCCAGGATGTCTTCGAGGGCATCACGGCCGCCACCATGGCCGTCCGGATGACGTGAGTGACCAAACCACACCAACCCAGCCCTCGCCCCCCGCCCTGCAGGACCAAAGAAAGGAAAGGAACGCACAACTGACCTAAACAGCCCCTACATCCTCAGCCGAATCAACTGGCACAACCCGCGGCACGACCCGATCGCGCGGCAGTTCCTCCCGCTCAAGTCGCGCATGATCCCCGACCACCCCAAGCTGACGCTCGACTCGCTGCACGAGGAGGCCGACTCGCCCGTCAAAGGCCTCGTCCACCGGTACCCAGACAAGGCTCTCTTCCTCCGTAAGTCCGCTCCCAATCCATGCCCAATATCCCCCAAAAAGTGAAGGGAGAAAGACAAGGTCCCCCCAATAACTAACAACTCCACCCCCACCCCCCAACCAGCCACCTCCGTCTGCCCGACCTACTGCACCTTCTGCACGCGCTCCTACGCCGTGGGCGCCGACACGGCCACCGTGTCCAAAGCCTCGCTCAAGCCGGGCCGCCGCCGCTGGGACGAAGCCCTCGCCTACATCGCCAGCCAGCCGCAACTACAAGACATTGTCGTCTCCGGCGGCGACGCATACTACCTGCAGGCGGAGCAGCTCGAGCAGCTGGGGGAGCGGCTGATCGCGATCCCCCACATCCGACGGTTCCGCTTCGCGTCCAAGGGCCTGGCGGTGGCGCCGGGTCGTGTGTTGGATCGTAGTGGGGATGGCTGGACCGACGCGCTGGTGCGGGTGTCGGACCGCGCGAGGCGCGCGGGCAAGGCGGTGGCCTGGCATACGCATTTTAATCATCCGTCGGAGATCTCGTGGGTTACCGAGGCGGCGGCCCAGCGGTTGTTTGAGGAGGGGGTGATGGTGAGGAATCAGTCGGTGTTGTTGAGGGGGGTGAATGATGATGTGGAGACGATGGGGGCGTTGATCAGGGGGTTGGCGAATAATAATATCTTTCCGGTAAGTGTTTCCTGGCTGCCTACCTACTTAGGGGAGAGGGAGGGGGTTTTGTAGCTTGGGCTGGCTGACTCGATGATACGGCAGTACTACGTCTACCAGTGCGACATGGTCAAGAGCGTCGAGCATCTGCGTACGCCGCTACGGACCATCCTTGACCTGGAGGCCAAGCTCCGCGGATCGATTGCGGGCTTTATGATGCCGTCGTTCGTGGTCGACCTGCCAGGGGGCGGCGGAAAGCGGCTGGCGTGTTCTTATGAGTCGTATGACCGCGCCACGGGCATCTCGAGGTACACGGCTCCCGCGGTCACGGGGCGTGACAAGGAGAACAAGGTGTACGAGTACTACGACCCGGTCAACTCGCTGCCGGGGAATACGGCATCATGATACTAGGGGGTGACCGTCGAGGTCCTGGGTCGAAGGGCGGTTGGTAGTCTGGTAGGCGGCATACTTGGGAAATTTCTCATATTTCATCGAGCGGAGTTCTGGCATGCCGTTAACATGGGGAAATAATGAATGGAGAACGAAAGTCAAGAATAGAATCCGAGGTGTTTGCATGTCACCGACCCTGTTCCGGTTCAAAAGGAGGATGAGGAAGGGGTAGGTGTCTTATTCGACAGGGTAAGGGGCTCATCATGGTTTGCTGCTGCCACCCACCAACCAGAGGAACGAGTGGCTTCAGGATGGTTAGATGCCAATCTTACTGTCGATAGCTAACAGTCAAGGGGGGCTGGATCGAAGGAGGGCGAAGCCGCCACATAACAGGCGGGATCGTGGCATTATAGCGCCCATCTCATCCTGAAAACCATTTTGGTGTGCGCCACCACCCAGTTCCCATCTTCATGGTTGTTTCCGACGGACTTGGTGGGCTCGGGGATATAACCCCCCACACCGGCGCCTCGGGGGGCTTGCAACGGCCCCGCCCGGCCGGACTGACCCACACACGGCCCCGAAAAACATCGGGACCAAGCCGGGGGCTCGAAGAAAGTTCAATAACTACTTCGTATTATCGGGTGTTCCATGTCGACAGGATCACCCGGTTACGGGTAGCTTTTCAAGGACGCCGGCCCAAGTTTAGGGGCTGATTGCATCTCATCTTTGCCAAAGGCGGCGGAGAAGCGAGACAAGCGCGATTTCTTGGTCGAGCATCCGGGCTGGCGGGGATAGGGAGATTGCAATTTCCCAAGAGAGAGGAGCCAGACTTGAGCTAGTTTGGTGTTTTGCGCCCTCCCACCTCCCCCGAGCAAACTTGGTCAAGCGTGGCACTAAGTCGGTGGGTTTCCAGTTTTAGCACAAGTGATGAGTTGATCTTTCTCGTCTCGGCCTCGGGGACGGCATGTTGCGCCTTGAGACCCACGCCCGCGTTGACATGTCGTGATGTGCATTGTCAAGTTGCTTCCGAAAAGTGGGCGCCGTCTCGATGTCGACCAGGAAACCCTGTCCGGCTCCCGCAAAGCCAATGACAATCTCTCGGAGATCACCTGCGTTGTTGATGACAGTGCCAGAGTCAACGATTACCGAGATTCAGCCTTCCTTGTCTTCCCCAGGTCCTTCCAGATTCTTGCTAGACTCGGCAAGTGGTTTGCGGAGTGTGGCCCGGGTGACATGTGGATCGCGAGGGCCAACTGACGACAGCCCGACTCAACTTCATGCCAACTACATGCCAACTGCATGTCGTGATCAATATTGCACGTGGCGCTCGGGACGCTTGCGGTTGGCAACGAAGTCTGTTCGGCATGTTTCCTCGGTTCCTAACGATGTGCCGACCTGAGGAAGCGGTCTTAATTGCATCTCGTTGGGGTGGTGCACTTGCAACGGGTTCCTGCATTGTCTCTAATAACGCGCGCCGCGAGACCAATGACAACAGGCGTAACTCTATCTGGAACTGCGAGTTCCCGAGACGTGGTCGCCGGATGGGCGGGGTGATATCACTGATGTTAATATGGTCGATCTTGGCTGGGACCATGTGCATGTCCGTAGGGCAGTTTGGGCGAGATCTTCTCGAAGGCCAACGTTGTATGGTTCGGTCCCTGCCCGTCGCTTAAATGGGCGGTTGCACCGAGCCACGGGCTGGCTTCATGCTCAATGCGTCTCTCGGTTAATTAAAGCAACGCGCTCGATTCGAGCATGGACGCGAGGTTGGACAGAGAGCGAGCGAGCTTGGGGGTTGCAGAGCAGCCGTGCCGTTCTTCTGCAGATGACGCCCGCGGGGATGGGCCATGATTTTTTGCGCGGTAAATATCTTTTGACAGCTGTTATGGTTGTCAGTCAGCTCAGATATTGCACCGGGATAGATCAACGGGACGGTTGTGTCGTCGTGAAACATGCATGTCTGAGCCATTGATCCCAGTCCAAACCCGACGCCTGAGACTTCTCGTCGTTATCGCGTAACTGAAAAGTAAACAACCCCAGACCAGGGGGTCCGTCGATGGTTCTGGCCTGGCGAAAGGGAAAGGGCGGTAAGTCTGACGGCTCGTTTTTCGACGCATCGACCAACAATTCTCCGCTGCCTGTTTATGCCTGCTCGTTTCAGATGGTTAACTCGCAGCATGACTGCTGCGAGATCAGGGAGGAAGCTTGACTGACCGCCTGCCACGTGTGAGGCGCCGGATCTAAGACATAGCCGCGAGAGGATCATCTGGACCCGTTATCTGTCTCCAACGGTGAAGCGAGGAAGCCCAGAGCGTAGCATTATGGAATACTTTGTCGTACCGACGACACAGAGATCCTTCGAGATGCCTAATCCCACTCCACCTGCCAGCTCAGCAGTGGAGTGCAGAAGTGTAAAATAGCAAAATAGCTCAAAGCGAGGGGTCAAACGAAGTCATACGAATTGAGAGCGAGACTCCGGAGCTGGCTGTCCCGGATGTTCTGGAAGTTAGATGCGAGCTTCTGCAGATTCCGTACTGTGTGTTCATCATGGAATTTGTGCACCCAATCGCCGCTCAGAGAGGCGAGCTCGAGGAAGAGCGGACTGAGCCTCATAACGCCATCGTGTTTGGGACAAACTGCATAATGTTGGACAGGCGCCAATGTGCAGCAGGGTTGGGGGTACGGTACGGTAAACTTGCTGTGTACTTCGCACATGTACAGATTATTCGTATACCTTCCATACGTTGAACACACATACTAGGTTCATGTACGAATAAATCGAAGGGTTTTTTTGTGTTGGTGATGGATTGGGTAGGTTGTGGGCGTGCAGGTGGGGGGACCCGACTTCGCTCTTGCCTGGGCTTCCACTCAGTCCACCTGTGCCCTCCGTGCCGCAGCCTCCAACTACTGTGTATGGACGCAATTGCGAGGAACTCCAGTCGTGCTTACAGCCTCAAGTCGGGTTTTGCCAACAATTCAAATGCAGTGGCGATCCTCCCAAGATTTTGCGCGGTTCACCTCAGCTCAGCAGCACACACGCACGACGCGGAAGGGGCTGATACGGGAGGTCCAACCCCGGACGCCGCCCACATGCTGCAGGTCCACGGGTGTGCTGTTCGCCGAGCCTGTACTTGCACCTGAGCTACCTGGGTTGCATCTTCTGTAACGCCCTGTTGCTAATGGGAGGAACTCACTTACCCCGAGAATCCAATTTTCGTCCTTTTTACCAAGAAATATCGGAACGGACCAGCACTATGCCATTGGCAATATCAATGCCAATCCACGGATACTAAGGTACATACCTAATAAAACACAACAACGTGTTCCTTCCTCGGACTATTTTCTCACACTTTTTTTTCTTCTCTTTTCCTCCCCACCATCCCAACATCCCGCAGATCAGGCTCGGGGTTGTCTGTCATCCATGGCGCTTCGTCGTCAATGACCCGCTTTCGAAAAACGGCTTGTCTTCCTTGTCTTCCTTGTCTTCCACTCGGAGGCTGAGCCTGGGACCCTTGCAACGTCCCTGGCGCTCTCTCGTCTTGGCTCGCCGCGAGGTCCGTCCCCAACTGGCTGGACCCTTGAAAGGAAGACCAGGGCAGCTCGCGCAGCCGGCAGCCAGTTAGCGAGATGGGCAGCAACCAGGCCTTCCTGGCGGCTTCTTGTCGTGCCCCAGAGCGCGGTGGTGGCACTATTTCCGGATGGACTCCTCCAGGGGTTCGTTGTGGAGTGATGGACACCTTTGACGCCCGCGACTCTGGTGACATGCCAGTGCTGATTCGAGCAATGGATGCAGGGGTAGCTCCCCCGTCGGCTCGTCCGTTACCAGACGAACCCTTGACACCCCGGAGAGCTTCATCAAGCCTTCCTTTCCTCATCAGCAGCTCATCTACCCCCTCCCCCCAGACTCCCTCTTCACCTCTCATCTGGCCTCACGATACCTGCCAGACCCCCAATCCGCCTCTCACGCCACACGCCAACTACACCCAGCTTCCCTCCTCCTTCTACTTCTCTCCCTCGGCATCGAGATCCAGCGGCGCCTTCAGTTTATCGTCTGACCCCAGTGACCTCGGCGACGACATCTCCAGTATCATTATGCCCGGCCAGACTTTCGAGGCCCAGGCCGAGCATCGATTCCGATCCCACAACACAGCCGACTACTTTTCGTTAAGCTGTACTGCGACTAATACGAGCCTCGACGACATCGCCCAGCAGCCACCTTGCTCGGCAGGCAGCGGGAAGAGCGCACGAACCGCGAGTCCGATGACCTTTGCGCGTTGGGGGAGGCGACAGCATGATGGAGAACCAGCGAACAAGCTCAGAAGGCGAGATCACGGCAGCCGAAACGGCCTCTCGAGATCTGGTAGCATCCAAAAACGACAGACTCAACCCGGAGGTGCCCCACAGATGACGCGGGAAGAATTTGAGGCTCTGCCGCTAGCAATACAAAGAAAGGTGTGTAGAAACCGTTACTTTTTCATTCTTTTCTTATTCGGTTTCGTCATATCCAAGACGCACGGCCGCGAAACTCGATGAGTGAGCTGTCGGTTCGTGTTGGCGTGCTCAAGCTAGAGTCTGGTCTCTTTGGCTTGGCGCGCAAGCAAACAACACAAATCCAGAACGACCCGGCCCCTCCCGTTTCTTCTCACCCTCACTATTGGCTCGTCCTGCAAGTGCTGGGGCCTGCAGCCGGATTCACATTCACACTGCCCACCACCAATGGGAGGGGGCTCTCCAGAGGACTTTGCTCGCATTGGCACCGTAATGGTTGCACTTGCGTCGATGGTGCGGTGGGTGGGTTCAAGAGGCACCAAGGTCTGGCAGCCAAAAATGCGCGGCAGCTAGGGGACTCGGAAACCATCACCGTGCCGCGTACCTGAGCAAGGGCCACAACTTAGACAAGGGATTCCCGAACTGTGCAGCCACGGGCTTGCCCAAAGTCAGGAACACCCGACCTGGGTATCCCAGCTTCGGGAAACTGCGGGGGAGACGGGAAGCTTGGGCCAACTGCTTTTGCTTCGTTGCGATATGCGAGATGCCCGCCAACCGGACTGCAAGATCACTCCGTTAAGCCGTGCAAGGCGCTGATGCGGCCTTGCTTCTTCTGCCGGACTCCACCGAAGTGGTGGTGATCCCCTGGCGAAGGTGCTCACGGCAAGAGAGGCCATGCGTGGGTAGCAGTGTGCTCAAACGCGCAGCCATCGCACATGCACCTGCTTGAGCCGAGCTGCTGCTGGGGGAGGGGGCGGGAACAACCCCATCACGAGCCCTTTTAGCACCTACAGATCCCGCTCGCCATGCCCTTTAGTTCTTCTCCCTGCTTGTCGTTTCCCGTGGGACGTTCCTTGCATACAGCGTGCCATTATCACTTTGTGGTTGAACTGCCCTTGGCCAACCAGATCAATGGTCACCCTTGACAGCCTCTCCTAGCCATCATACCTTCTTCCTCTTACTAAACCGTGCCTTCCCCTCTAGTACTTCTCGACCCTCGAACGACTGCGTTTCGCCCAAGAGTCAGGCCTTGTCGACGGCATCTCCCAGCATTACGACGACATATCACATTTCAAGCGTAGAAATCCCCGTCAGGAACGCACTTCCTCGGAAGAACTCGTTGGTCGATCTCAGCACGAATCCGGCTTCGAGTTTCTCTCGTCCACTTCTGATTCGTCGCCCTTGTGCGTTGGTCAGCCAGAAGCAACACAGGAAGTAGAATCCCGCCGCCCTGCGATACGGCACCGTGCCAGTGTCATTTTTGACGCGGCCGACGAGGCCGTATATAGGCTCAACCAGCAAGCTGGGTGGAGAAATCGGTCCCCGACCCTCGATTCTGTCACCCCGCCACTCTCCCCTACTCGGCATAGCATGGACTCGCATGATGGGTTTAGGAATCACCTTGACCGTCCCGCCGACGGCCATGTACCCAAGTCGTTCTACGACAGCTTTCGGTGGCTTGACGAGGAGGAGGACTTGGATTTACGCCTCTTCCTAGACGACTACCACGCGAACTTGCGGGAGGGCACGCCGACGACCAAGCAACGGCCATCGTTCCGTCGCACCATGTCGATATCAAAGGCCCCGTTCGGTCGTCGAAGCTCCGTGTCGTCGATTAGACCTGTCACGAAAGACGCCATGGCCCCGACATCGCCGATCCACAGCCCAACTGGTAGCATCTCCAACGGCTTGACTCACGTAAGACGCAAGTCGCGCGCCTTGTCTCTCATCACGCCAAAACATGGGGCTCAACCTTCGATCACGGCATTTGACCCCGCAGCCGCGCACTATCAGGATCCCGAAGCGAGATTGAAGTTGCGTGTTTATCTGGCCTCGCCGCAGAAGTTTGATGAGGCTGTTGAGTTTGGATTCCCATCGGCGGACGTGCTGTCGGCTGCACCGGCGGTTAATGCGGAGAACACTGGGCTTCACGGGCAGCCGAAGCCGAAATCAGCCGATGCCTCGTCAAACATGCACACGTTCTTGGCCGATCACGATGACGAAGACGAGCTGTCACTCTACAGCGACCACGCAACGTCGCTGGGTGACCCCGATTCCCCCAAAACCCCGGAGCCAGTCGAACAACGAACTGTCGCCCCACGCCACGGGCGGTTTGCCTCGGCAGATGCTCTTAGCGGAAGAGGGTACGGAAGGACCACCCCGGAGGGGCCTTTCTATGTTCAAGCGCCAGCAGCCTCTCGCGAGATGACTCTGCGTATGACGCTGACCCGGCCCGATCTTCGTGCCCACGAGGACGACATGTATGGGTGGCAGCAGAAGCCGGTCTATCAACAGCATGCCCGCCGACCAACCGCAATGGCGTCTCTCGCCACAGATAACAGAGCCACACACACCGCAACGCACAAAGAGAGCCTCGACAAGTTCCCCGAAGTCGACCACTGGAACGAAACCGTTCCAGAAAAGGGGGTGATGAGGCGGATCTGGAACCGCGTCCGGAGGGGCTGAGCACCCCAAGGACATTCTACAACAGTGCCGTATCACGCAATTTCCCTCGCTTTCGCAACGAAGTAAACGCCTTCCAACTCTCGCTACCATTGGTTCCTTCTCCCTAATGCACTTGGACTAGAAGCGTGCACTTGGACTAGAAGAGATTGGACCACATGTCTTTTTTTCATTACCTGTTTTGATGTTTTTTTTTTGCAAGGTGTTGGTTGGTTCTCTTTTGTCAATGCATCATGTTTTGGTGCCGGCTGGCGGACTCTGTGTATAAAAAGGTTTAGCATCTCACGATGGAGTTTCTATTGTAATAGTCATAGATGGGCGTTGAGAAAAACGGAGCACAGACATAAAATTGCAAAGCCTTTCTGTTTCATTGGATCCGTATCTGCATTGTCTTGTTACCATCGAGCCTCTTGAATGCCCAAGTCAAACGAATGCCAGGGACGTTGTGAAAATGCTCCCCACACCTCGCCCAGATCGGCCTCATGGCGGCCATCAACCCACACAGGCGCGCACATGTTCAAGCATGGCCGCAGATAGGTAGCCGCGGCAAGGCCACCGAACCAGTGTGGTGGGTGTGGTCTTGCGAGACCCCGCGTCACCTCGAGTCACTCGACGTCACATCGGGCGCTTGGGACTGGGGCCTATCATTGACGGTTGGAGTTTAGTCTGTTTGTGAACACAGGTCTCTGCTGCCCCCCGGCAGGCTCTCTTGATCACCTGAGATGTCTCAACAACAACAATCGGGTTGATACGAAAAACCCACCTCCGGGACTGACAGCCGGAGAGAGAGGAACCGAAGAGACGGCGGGGGGACACGGCGGAGCGGTGAGTTGCTGACTGAATGACTGTGACCGTCACCGTCACTGTCACTATCACGAAGTGACTATTTACCGATCTCCCGGTTGACCGCTCTGCTTCCCCCTTGCCCCTCCGTCCGAAAACCGAGCATGCGGACACCAGCCTGGGTTCCTGGTCCCGGTCCCGGGGAACAAGAACGCTCTCCACACAGTTCCCAGTCAGCACTGCTCCGTTCCCTGCCCTGACAAGATGATGGGCGGATCGATAGAAAACACGCAACACAAAAAGAGAGAGAGAGGGCTCCACCCCGCTCTTTCGCTCCGGTCCGGCCCCACACGGATCAACCGATGGGATGGGCCCCCCGGGGGATCCAGGTGGGGACGGGGTCAGGCCAGGCTAGCACGACGGTTGGCATAGTCGTGTTCATACCCCCTGTGGCCGGCTGGCTGCAGCTGCGGCTGGGGGGGTTGATTGACCCCTGGAGCCCTGGAGCGCCCCTGGCATAGCGGGGGGGGAGGGCTGCGTGGGGGGAGGAGATCACTCGGTTGGATAATCTTCTTTTTGACAACGGTGCTTGCAAGGCGAGGAAAGAGGACACACGTGCAACGGAACTTGCCACGAAGGAAAATGGTAGCAGGGAATATATTTTTTTTTCTCGAGGGCTAAATTATATTTCTTTTCCCGGCTGGGGCTGTCTCGCTCTGAGACGGCGGTGTAGAGCCGGATCCTCAGATCTCAGACAGACCAGACGGGGGTTGACGGAGATTTCCGGACTGGGAAGATCTGTGGAGCTGGGACAGGAACTGGAACTGGAACGGGAACGGGAACTGGAAGCTTCGAGGCCGCGTCGGCTGGGCGAGGCGAAGGCGGCCGGTGTTTGCACTCCGTCA